TATCTTATATTTGTGATGTCGTTATAATTTATAATGACATCACATTTATAATAAATATATCTATAATCATATTCATAATATTGATAATAATAAGAAGAAATGAATGTTTATCATTTATACATTTTTGTTGTATTTATACTGTTATATTCTATAATATTGATATAAGATAGGATGTATGAATATTAATTATAAATTTTATTCTATATTGATTATATCTGTATAGAATTAAAATCTTTCATAGAGAGTATGCATACATAACTAAAACAAAATATGTTATATTGATCAAAATGTTGTCTACTTAACTCATTAATAAAAGTCAGTTCATGTGATTAGAAATTTTAGTACAACATTAGCAATCTTTAGCATGCACCAAAAGTAGATTATTAAAATTATTTATACTGCAGACCTAGAAGGTTTTTGACTTAGAACAGACGGAAAATATGCATATATAATTGCAACCTACTTTTGTTGCATGCTAAAATTTTGATCACCAACTGTTTATGTTATAGTTGTCGAAAATAAAATCAGCTTTATTATTCTAATAAATTAGTATTAAAAAGTAAGGTATAGTTAGTAATTATTGAAAAGATGATTTTAACACGGCTCTCATTTTTTATTACCTTTCCTCATTTCTATTAACTGTAATTATTATGTATATAATTCAACACTTAATCATTATTCCTAACAACTAAGCGTTAAACAATTGAAAATTGCATATATATATATAAAATATATATATATATATATATATATATATATATATATATATATATATATATATATATATATATATATATATATATTTAGTGTTTCTATAATAATTACTGAGGTATCATACGTAAGTTTTTTAAACAAAAATAGCTGTTTTAAGATTCAAGGGTTGCTCAGACAATTTTGTACTTAAAAAAAAAGCATAAAAAACATTTTCATGCCAGCTAAGTTATTCAAAATTGGCAAGACAATTTAAATGTTGTAAACTAGTATTGATTTAACATGTTGCAAAGTTGTTACTATTTTTATATTATAATTTTTTTAAAAACTTGTAGATAAGATAAATAAGAATGATTTTGATTCTCATCTATATCGCTTGTAAAGTGCATATTTAAAAATCTGTCTCATTAAATGAGAGAACATGTTGTAAACTTGTATACACTTACTAATATGCATTTAATGTTGTAAACTTGTTTGCAATACCTAAAAACAAATCCAAATTTAAGACTGGAGTGTCTAGTAAATTTTGACAATTTTTTTTTTTTTTGCTTGACAGCTGCCCATTTTCTTTTTGTGAATAAGTAGTAGCAATTTGAATTTACTGTGTTTTGCTTGTGGCCTTGAGCTAACTACCTACACATATTTGGATTTTTTTTGTAAATAATAACATAAACTTTATAAAATAAAGCTTATTATATCAAAGTTGCTTACTTATTGTTAATAAAATTTACTATCAAATATCCCAACAAGCTTTTAGTTGTGATTTTAATGTGCATCAATAATTTGTCAATTAACTTTGCTAATTACTGACTAAAGTCACACGTTGCATATTTTTATTATAATAATTTTTTTGTATAACGATCAGTAATTATTGACAAGAGTCACAAGTTGTTTTTTTTAATGTTATATATAGCAAACAATTTTGTTGTTAAAATGTTGAGGTTGTTGATAAGTATTTAAAAACTGAAAAACAAAATGGCTTTTAAATGCGTTGAACAACGAGCCAACTATCCATGTCTATTATATCCGCAATATGAAGATGAACAGCTAAAGCGATTTATTTGGCAGATGACTTCTTTCTTCATGGTAAACAATATTCATTCAGAGCGTACTTGCTTGCTGCTCTGTCGTTGAAAATTTACAAGACCATATAAGAATTAACAGCACCTGAAGTGCCAGATGTTTCAAACAAAGATTTAGAAGCGAAACTGGAAACGTTGGAAATAAGAAGACATACTTAAGAAATATGATGACAAATTTATGGAAAAAGTTAAAGGATTACTACCGTTGATGTGCGTCTTCAAGATAATAAAAAGAAAATAAGATCGGTGCTTGATTAATGCGAACTTAACACCTATGTAAAAGTATCTACAAGGGATGCAGATGTCATTACCAATTCAATGAGGGATTGGAGGCTCATGAGTAAAAATAGCAACAACTTAGTGGTTTATTTAAAAAGAGCATACCTCAAATTCATGTGCATAAATGATATTGGTTTTACCAAAATGTTATTTACATAGATCAACAATCTGCACTTACATTTTTGGGTTTAGGTTTGAACCTAGCACCTGTGATGATGAGCTCAATACTACAATACGTTTGCCAACAAAATTTTTCACTTGCTAAATCAACAAGAGGATACATTGATAACACCTTAGCAACCAATGGAAATGGAAGAAAGCTGGTGGCACATTTGAAGAAATGGAGTTTTTATGTAAAACATAATATTTTGCAAAAATCCAGTTCATGCACTAGGATTGATTATTTTGATTATTTTGCAAAAATCCAGTTCATTCACTAGGATTGGAAGTAACAGTAATAAAAAAAAAGTAGTGAATAGTTATTTTTGTATGTACCTTGAAAAATTTTGATCTTAGTTATAACAATGCTATTTCATTTTTTCATTTTCCTAAAGACGATAAAAGGCAAGCTAATTCATATATTATTTATAATAACTTTTTTTTCATAAAAAGTTTATAAAATTATTATTGTAGTATTTTAAAGCATATTTATGAAGTAATTTAAAATATATTATTGTAGTATATTAAAACATATTCTTTTATTGTTTAATTTTTAGATGTAAGCAGTAGGATATCAACTGTCTTAGGAAAGATTTAGAAAAAAAAGATTTTCTATTTTTAAACAAAAACTTTTATTTGTGCAGTAATCATTTTTAAAGTACAATGTATTATTCTACAAATAATGGTGGAAAACGTTTGTTACAATCAGAAATTCCTACTATTTTTAACATCCCAAATCCTCCTCCACTTCTTGATTCTAAAAGGAAACCACCAGTTGACATCATTCAGTTCCAGCGAAAAAATTTCAAAAATATTGTATGTATTATCATTTGGTATATTATAATATTATTTTTTTAATTTAATTCTTTGTAATGAGACTTTGTAATGTTATAATGTATAATATTATTACTTTAATTAATGTATAATGGTAATAACTTTTATGTATAATAATATACTTTTATGCTCTAAAAAAATTACACCAACTTTATGTTCTACAAAACTTTTTTTGTTCTACAAAACGTTTTTTCATCTTAATGTTACAAAATTGAGATATCTTGAATACAAAAGTGAGATATTTAGCAACAAAGTTTATTAATTAAAAAAAACTATTTGTGTTTGTTGCAGAAGAGGTCCGGCAGGACATCCCAGAATGCAATTTTGATCAGTTAACAGGTGTTTCGCGAAGTGGATAGGCTTTGTTTGGTGACAAGAAAATAAAAAAATGCAACATGACTCCGGCCAAAGTCTGATGCAATGCATATCAAAGTAGCTGAATTGAATGCATGTATTTAAGGTGTCAATATGGCATTGAAATGGAACCCAAGTGATATCAAAATTGATTTTTATAGTGTATTCAATTGGTTAAATTCTGAATTGAATCATGACAAACCTATAAAATGTGCTGGGCAATGCAAAATGCTAATTTGACAAAGACTTCAAGCATTTGGAAAATTGGTTGAAGATTATGCCATAAATGTAAATGTAACTCATACGAGCACCAACAATCAATAAAGAACCCAAAATTTAATTGGGACACCAATTTTTCCGGCAATGTTAAAAGAGGAAGATGATGTTGTGATCCCCTCCTCCTCTCCTAATTAAACGAGTGCTGCAACAATAATTTTTAATAATCATTTATGTTTATCATGTTTAGTAGTATCCTATTATAAAGAGTTGATTTAAAGGCATTTTTTTTGAATACATGAATTTACTTGTGGACGATGTTACTTTAGATTCAATAGGAAAGCTATTTTACTTAAGACTTTAACAAACCCTTTTGTTGCAAATACCACGCTAACAGTAAATAATTATTGAAAATTGTTTAAAGTATTTTAAACATTTATTAACTATATTTTAGTAAATTTAATTTTAGTGTTTAAATGTTTAAATACCTTAAACCATTTTTAATCAATATTTACATTAAATAATAAATTAAATCACGTAATATTTGTAAAGTTAAATAGTTTTAGGTCTTGTATTTAAATTAAAAACATAAGCATTTAATAAACAAATTTGTTAAGCATTTAATTAACTATTTGAAAAAATAACATAAACATTTTAGAAACTTATTTACTAATTATTTAACTTTAAAATTTTGATTTAAATATTAGCAAACCTGTTCATTTAACTTTTACTAAAGGTTAATAATTTTTAAAATGATTTTAAGGCGCCTTCTAAATTAAAGATAATTATAAAAGAGATAATTGCGGTAAACAAAATTTTAAAAACGAAATGTTTTTTTGAATTAAAAGCATATTATAAATTAAAAAACATTTAAAAATATATATAATTTTTATATATAATTAAGTATAATTTAAAAAACTTACGTTTATTTTATTTATATAATTACGTTTATATAAATAAATCACATTTACTGTGTATTATTTTAAACAGATTTTAATAAAACTTTTATCAAGTTATTGCAATCTTTATTTTTATTATTTTGAAAGTTAAAAAGAATATCCAAAAGAAACAAAATGTTCTGAAAAAGTTTACGCTTCGTTTTTTTATTTTCCTCACGTAAATTAAAATAGCAAGCTAAAGATCAAAAGTTCATTCATTCAAAAATTAAGCTTGCATGATAGTATGACAGTTAGTAACTGAAGGCCAATTATGTCACGTAGCACCCGATCCTAAGTAAAATTTGTCGATCTCATCGAAATAAAATATCTCTGTGTTTTCCGATCTCATCAGCCGTGTATTTGCCACACCGCCACACATGTGATATTATTTTTTGATGTCATCGAGTTATGTGTTCATAATATAAGTTCATGCCAAAAAATAATACAAATAATGGCGGTCAATATTTTGCGGCAATATAATGTACTATTTTAATTATAATATATTATGGTAATATAAAAAAATATAACATTTTCTTAAATTTGATTTATTTTAACTTTATTTAGACTTATGTCTAATATATAATGCTTTATTATCAATTTAAACAAGATAATGTGTATTTAATATTCAGGCGAACTTGATTAAAAGGTATAACGATGAAACTGATTCTAAAATATTTTTCTTACTCATTTATTACTGTTTTGTTCTTAAAAAATATTGAATACTTTTTTGTAACGTTTTGAAACGTATTTGTAAAATATACTCAAATAATTTATAAATAAATACAAGAAATATTTTTAGGCTCCCTCAGAGACTCTGAAAATTGACCTCTCTGCGAAGAAATTACTAAAAAGTAAAAATACTTTTTGCTTTTATTTAAATTAAAAACAAAAAGTATTTTTAATTAAAACTTACACTAGACTTGAGTGTCTTAAGTGCATTTTTTTTACACAGTCTGCAGTTATTATTAAATTAATAATTTAATAATAACTGCAGACACTCAAGTCTAGTGCAAGTTTTAATTAATTTCTTTTTTAAATAAACATCAGTTCTTCGCTTTTAAGCTTCTAATTTTTTGCTGTGTTGCTCAATAACTTGTAAAAATGCTGTTATTGTTTTCTCTGTTTGATAGAAGTGATGAAAAATTTAAACATTAGCCGTTTCCTGACTGAGTTACCAGTAATGCAGAGCCATTGTTTTAAACCAACCATACTTATACTGCTTCATAATAGTTTTTTTAGTCTTTTGATCAACTGTATGTCGTTGTTGGGTGCATCCAGAGTAGTTTTGCATGAAAACCATGCTTGAATGAAGACCTCAGCTAAAAAATCTATTTAAACGCTGAATGTTTTTATTGCCATTGTATAACAGCTCTTGATCGTGTATATGGCCTTTGCCATCAATATGAAGTAAAAAGTCAGGTCAGGTTATCCTTTAAACGTCAAGTTAGGTTATCCTGATACTGGTAACATGAAATCCAGTACAACCTGCTTCCTGTTAACATCAGAAAGGGCATCTGATTGTAAAACATTGCTTTAACTCTCTCATAATGGCATTAATTTCATAATGAAAACCCTCCAAACCACACAAGTGTCGAAAAATAGAAGTAAAATTTACAACAACAACAAAATGGCCATATGAACGACACCTGATCTTCTGATAGTTGCTTCAATTTTTAAACCTATCAAATAATCAGCTAAAATCTGAAAACATGCTAGATTAGAGGACAAGAAATGCAGTCTTTAGAGTAAAAGAAAGTTATACACCGCATGCACACAGTCTCATAATATAAGACATAACATAGGCAATAAAGGTTGATTATCTCTAGTGTTTTGAAAGAACAGCGAAGAAGATGATCAGTTGGATATAAAAGATGACTGAAAAGAAAGAGTTAATAAATATTAATGATATATATTAAGATGTGTCAGAGTAAATGAAGCTGGTTTAGGCATGTTGTATAATACGCCATATTTGATTACGTATTATACAATCACGCATTGTAGATAATTACAATCATCATGCTAATGACCATAAAGGACTTTTATTATAGGCATTGCATTTACTTTTTTTAATGTTAGTTATGAAGAGAATAAAGTTGAGTAGCGAACTTTGTTATTATACACATGTAGATGATTTTAATGCAAATAATTGGGTATCAGCATGTAGAGAGTTAGCAGTTTAGTCAAAAAAAATAGAATTAGAAAAACTTGCAGATATTATGTTTTTTTTTTAAGAGTATGTTATAGATTACATGGAAAAACCTCAGAAAAAAGATATATAAGATAATAGATATTTGAATAAATAGCATTATGAGAAACCTCCAACCAAGTAAGCACAGATACACTGAAACTAATATGACAATGAAGATAATGTTTACCCAAAAAACTACTTAGAGATATATAAAATTTAGTTAATTTTACATTTAATTGTTATCAAAATACAGGGTAAAAATATTACCATTTTATCGGTTGGTAAATTGGTAAACTGATTAAAAAAGCTGTTGCCAATACCGATTGTACAAAAAGTGGCCATAAGTAAACAAACTATTGCTATATGTTGCTATATGCAGTGGATGTCCAGTCCGATTCATATACTTATACTTTTACTTTGTGCCCTTTTTATCATTTCAGATAATTGATAATTAGTATTTATCATTCCGGAAAAAAAAAGATTTTGTTGGTAGGAGGTAGGGAGGATAGTGGGACCCATTCATCAAAGGTTAGTTTTTTCTAGGACACTGTAATATATATGCTTGCTAAATAATAATTATATATTTATATATAAAAAAAGCCAATATTTAATGTCGTGGTAATAAAAAGTTCCCTTTTAATACCATAGTTATTGCGTTGTATTAGTTAAAACTATTGTTTCGAAGATAGCAAAATAAAAATAAATCATTATTTTAATAATCTAAACTTAACACTTGTATTTATCAGATATAAAAATATATTTTATTCCTGGTAAAGTTAGCAAAAAAACATTTTGAATATCAAAAACCTTTAATTCTTCTACTGAGAGTTTACAGTTGTAGTTACTATCAAATTGATCAACAATAGATTGATCCAACAGGTAAAGATTTTTAAGTACTGGCTCGTAATGACTTTTCCCTGATGAAAACTTTCTCACCAATCCAAACAATGCATCAAAGGATAAAACTAATGTACCAGACTCCTATAATATAATATATAATTACTCAATATTTTATAACTTATTTTATTCTTTAGAATGACAGCTTTCATACAAAATTGCTAAAAATTTAATTTGCAGTTTAAAGAGGCAAATGTTTCATAGGTTATATAAGTTTTTGAGAATATATTGCATTATATAGAAAATTCACAATATTAATGATTTTCTTACTTTAGGACATGCAGGACATATAGATAGATTGTGAAAATTTTGAAATCTTGGCTTGAAGGTTTTTAAATCATTTTTAAACAAAAGATAGCTCAGAAAACATTCACCAGTTACCATTTTATATATCGCGTCAATCTACATAAAAAACAACCTTTAAAACATTTCTTTTTATATACTTTTTCGGATACATGCTATCTAATATGATGTTATACCTTGATATAATCATCTCCTTTTGATTTAGTATAGAATGCTTTACAGAATGATTTCACAGAAACATATCCATCTAGGAACAAGGCTTCCATCAAATCCATCAACTCATAGCTAAATGCTGCAGATGGATTTACAGGAGAACTAGGCCAGAAACTTTTCTCCAGCAAAATATCCACAATATTAGGTGAACATAAACATTCAGCGACCAATGACTGATGTTGTCTACCTATTGCAATTTTTTTAAATAATAAAATTAATCCCAAATTTTTTTTCAGGAAACCAAAAATATATTTTCTTTTTATAATAAAAAAAACCCTTGCGGGTTCTCGCTAAATCATGTATGTATGTATGTATGTATGTATGTATGTATGTTTTTTAATGTATGTATATATATATATATATATATATATATATATATATATATATATATATATATATATATATATATATATATATATATATATATATACATTGTTCAAAAGTCAGCCTTTTCGGTCTCAGCAAAGAAATGCCTTGAGGTCTGTACCTCAAAAGTTGCATTCACCTCGGCAGCATTTAAAAAAGTGAATTTAAATTTTACTTTTTTTATAACTATTTTTTTTATAATTTCTTGAATTAAATTGAATGAAAAATTCTTTGTATTACACAATATTCAATATTACTTAAATATTATACAATATTCGGTTTAAAAAAAGATTTATTAAATTAACAAAATATTTTTTATGAAAATTAATTTTGCTTGTGCACTTTTTTGCTGTAGCAATATATATATATATATATATATATATATATATATATATATATATATATATATATATATATATATATATATATATATATATATATATATATATATATATATATATATATATATATATATATATATATATATATATATATATATATATATATATATATATATATATATATATATATATATATATATATGTATATATATATATATATATATATATATATATATATATATATATATATATGTATATATATATATATATATATATATATATATATATATATATATATATATATTTATATATATATATATATACATATATATATTGAAAATATAATTTATTGAAATTATTTAAATAAGTTAAAATAAAGTAAACATAGTACCTGAATAATCAAAGACAATCAATTCTTTGTTCAAAGAATTTACACATTTACAAGAAGAGGACTTGATGACTCGCATTGCACAGTTATATTGCTTAAAATACCCAACCTTGATTAAAAGTCAAGATAACTGGTTTAATTCTTTTAACTTTAACATGGTTAGAAACAATTTTAAATTAGAAATTCTAACAAATTTAAAAAATATTAGAATTGAAAATTTAAATTCAAGAATATATTACATACCTGTGAACACTAAACACGAGCTTCATGAAAAAGAGAAAGTTTTTGGTGATAATGCTCCCAACACTCACGGCAATACCAAATAAAAGAACAATCCGGACACTGTATTAATTGATCTATAGAGTCATCCTTATCACACATACAACAAGGTATGTTTAACAAAGGTTCAGTATTTTTTCCAGTTTCATTATCAATGCATCTTGTTGCTAACAGTGATACAGATGAACTTCGCAACTTTAAAGCTATTGCTTGTTTTTTTAATGCACACCAATTTTCTGCCTTTTTCCTCGTAATATCATTATATGGAGGCTGTAATCTCTTATAAAATGATTGTTTGATAACTATATTATTATCGTAGTTCTGAGAGCTGCTGGTAGACACCTCATCGTCATCAACATGTTAATACATCAATATGTACAACTGTTAATACATATATATATATATATATATATATATATATATATATATATATATATATATATATATATATA